TTTTGTAAAGGTGAGCACTTTAAACAGCCGACTAGTTTTGCAACTGTGCAATGAGTTGGATGTGCCGATCAATGCTCTGCTATTTCACACTGAAGTGAGATGGGTGTCGAGAGGAAAAGTTTTAAAACGTGTTTTTGAGCTTCGTGATGAACTCAGACATTTTATAATCAGAAAGCAAGACCACAGTTCAAAGCACTTTTCAGCAATAAAAGTGAACTACAGAAAATAGCTCACTTGGTTGACATCTTTGCCATCTTGAATGAGTTAAATTTATCGCTACAAGGACCAAATGCAACATACCTTGATTTGTCTGAAAAGATCTGATCATTCCAAATGAAACGTCAGCTTTGGCAAAAAAAAAAAAAAAAATGGATGAAACTAAAATTTACACGTTGCCTACCTCATCTGTTTTCTTTGAGAAACACAACATTGAACCAGACAAAAGATTGCGATAATTTCTGTGAAAGAACACTTGCACATGCTTGCAGATGAAATTTCATCGTACTTTCCAAATCTACCTGACACCCCAAGAAGAGGCCAGAAGCTCATTCACAGTCAAAGCTGAAGGTGTTCCTAAGACAGCACAAGAGCTCATTGAACTTATTAACAGCAATGAAGCAAGAACTGATTTCTCTACAATGCCAGTTACAAAATTCTGGATCAAGGGTTTGCAGTCATATCCTATTCTGTCTCAGACAGTGTTGTGCCTTCTTCTTCCATTTCCAACAACCTCTCTTTGTGAAGCAGGGTTTTCCAGTTTCTTGGTTATCAAGTCTAAATACAGAAGTAGACTTGTTGTGGAAGATGATCTTTGTTGTGCTCTTGCAAAGACTGCCCTGAGAATTTCTGGTCTGGTGAGAGAGATTCAATCTCATCCTTCACACTGGCTTTGGCTTTTAATGCATGCTGTCCCAAAATGTAGCAATGTAGTTTACCGTTGTTATATTAAGACAGTTACCCATGCTACACCATGCTTCAAGACAAAATTTCATTTATTTGTAATTAGAAAGAAATGTTTCACAGTATATAATTACATATTGTTTTTGTGATGAATCACTATGCTTTAATTCTGTTCAATTTGTAACAATGAAAATACATCCCATATGTTAGATCTTTACAATACAATTCATAACAGTAGCAAAATTACAGTTATGAAGTAGCGACGAAATTAATCTTATGGGTGGGGTCACCACAACATGAGGAACTG